AGCAAATACAGGAGCAAGCCTCTAGGAAGGGCAAGGCCCTAGGGACAAAGTACAAGGACTCCAGTCCCCGAAAAAAAAAAAAAGAGAGCAAAAAATTACTGTACGCAGAAACAGAAAAAAGTACTCATTTCATTTCAAGAAGAAGGGGCTTTGCGTCCCCAAAGGCTACAAAAGAAAATAAAAGGGGTACAATAAAAAAAAGCGAAAAGGGGCTATCATCTGGCTCCAGGCATCTCCAGAACATCAGCCGAGGGCGAGTCGGCAAAAAATGGTTGAGAAGCTTCAGGAGCAGGCAGGAGAGGTACCTCGGCAACAGGCAGAACTGGGCAATCTGAGGACCAGGAGCAAGGTCCGACGGGGCGTCATCGGACAAATCCACGATCACTGCCTCGGGCGGATCCGCCGACACTTGCACCGGCATTGGGACCTCATCCTCGGCAGCAACCTCCGCTTCGGCCCGTGCCATCTCTGCCGAGGGCACATACTTGTGCATTTGAAAGAGCGGGGAGTCTGAGGGGATCCCAGCAGACTGGAGCGCCTCGTCCCACCCTTTCTTGAAGAACTCCTTACTGTTTTCTTCAAGAGCAGGAAGCACATCATCGACAAACTCTTCCCGAAGTTGCTCTTCCGATTTTCTATTCAGTGCCTCGGCACTGATCCGGTCCAGCTCCTGGGTAAGGGCCAGACAGCTTTCCTCTGAGCCTACGGCCCTCTCCTCCGCAGCAGAAAGTCGCTGCGTTTGCTCGGTAATCCTCCTCTCAGCATCGGCAAGGGCAACACTTAGTTTTTCAGCGCCAACCTTGGCCGATTCGGCGTCCTTGAGGAGTTGCTCGATTTGAGCAGCCTGCCCCACCAGGGTAGAATCCCTGGCAGCTACATCCTCCATTGCCCGGGCGAGGGCCGCTTCCGCCTCCTCCTTCTGATCTCGGGCCCTCTGGAGGTCCATCCTAGACCCGTGGTACCGAGCAGCAATGATGGAGATCTGCTGGGTAGCCTGCAAAGGAAGGAAAAAGTGTTAATCACAAAAATGGAAAGCAAGAGTGAAGGAACCAGAGCAAAAATAAACTCATCACCAGGGAATTCTGGATGATGGAGCGGAACAACATGTTGGTTGATCGCCCCCTATGAGCCGCCATGTCAGCCTCGAAATGCAGTGTCTCACTCACTGCATTGGCGACATGAGGATCCAGCAGAATGGAATCGTCGACCCTGATCACTCGGTTCATGTGATCAGTGGCTCGGGGATTCCACTCCGCGGCCTCCACTGTAGGCGGAAGGGGAGGAGGAGTCTGCTGTTGTTGTTGTTGCTGTTGTCGGGGCTGTTGTTGCTGCTGCTGTTGTGGAGGAGCAGGGGGTAATCCACGGCCCCTCCCGCTTTGCTGCTGAGCGGGAGGTGCCCTGGATCCTCGGCCAAGGTCATCATGCCGATGTTTGACCCTTCTCTCCTCCTCCACCTGAGGGTCCCGGTCTCGCACCTGACCCCGACCAAGGACCCTTGATGATGGGGTGGAATTGGTCCCTGCAGAGGGGGTGCCGCCGGTCGTTCCTCGACCCCTCCCAGCTGCGAGAGCTTGCCTCTGCCTGAGGAACCCCAAATCAATGCGAGGGGTGCTGGACATTGCTGCCTCGAAGGCGTCCTCGGCGTCTAAGGATTGAAGAACTTGGAAGTCTGGCCACAAGTCTCCTCCCGAAGTCCCCACCTCGGCATCTGAAGGAACAGCGTCCTCTCTGACCCCGAGCTCTTCAGCAACTCCCTCGACCTCTGCCTCTGAAGCCCGATCCGGGTCTTCCTCCAAATTTTCCTCAACCTCTAGCCTCGCCGCCTGATCGAAGAGTTCAGACCACTGCGAAGGCTCAAAAGGCTACGGAAGCTGTGAAAATTTCTTATATCCGGGGGTATAATTCAGCAGGATGTGAGCAGCACGGCCAAACCCGTTGTCACCCATGAATCTCCAAACCGTGATTAGGTCGGCAAAGTTCACCAGCGACCGAGGGGGAGGAGCTGTTTCCCGAGCAGGAATATCTGCACACACAAAATAGTCATGAGTATGGGAAGTCTGGAGAAAGAAATAATAAACCCGAAGGAACCGACATACTTGTCGTTCTCTATTCCAGAGGGCATAACAAGTCATTATACTCGGGATCAACACCTCTCTGCCAAGATCCCTTGAAGATTAGAATATCGTCCTTGTACCCCTTGTCCGAGTCGGGAAGATGGGTTACAAGGTACATGGAGGGGTCCCTGGCTTTGAGGTAGAAGTGTTGGTGAGACATGACTCTAAGGAGGGAATAACAAAAAAGGAGATCGTTGAGCCCAATATTTACCCGAGGCGCCTATTGAGCTTTAAGACCCCCATGATTATTCGGAAGACATTAAGGCAGCATTGCCCGGGGAAGAGGCGGAAATGAGAGAGGAACTGAAGAAGCAGAGGGGGTAAAGGAAACCTAATTCCACCATCTATGATGGCCTTGGTATAGAAGGGCATGGCATCCTCGGCCCCGAGGGTAGAAGAGTGCACCACCGGGTCAAAATCCTCTACGTCTACGCACGGAGGAATGCCATACTTGGCCCTAAACCTATTGATCTGTTCATCGCCTTTTACCTTATATTTCCCTGACCCCGAAGGACCAGCCTGAGGATTCTCGGGAGCAGGGCGACGACGAGGCATCTCTAAAAAAGTAAGAAAGAAGAGGGTATTTGTTCTTGAAAATCCCTGAGGAAGTTTCCCGAGGGTTAAATCGCTATGTATCGACCGGAAGACACCTCCAGTCAATCGGAAAATAAAAGGCTAGGAGGAAGAAAAGAAAGAGGATTCTGAAACTCACCCGAACGTCAAAATGGAGTTTTTTCTGGAAAACCTTAAAGCGACTCCCTCCAGAAAGTTCAGAAATCAACAATGGGTCTGCTGGCTTTAAGATTTTGAGGGAGAATGGGTAGTCGACGATGGCAGAAGAAACAAAACTCCGGCGAAGATTCAAGAAGAGGTACACTGGAGAAAGTTCAAAATGGCAAAACGAGGAAAACCGGAGAGGAACCCCCTTTATATAGGGGCAATTTTCATCATTGGGCGCGAAAAACGAAACGGCGCATTTAATGCGCACGACATCCCAAGCCGGGAAAAGCGGCTCGAGGCCATGATGAAGGACGGGTGGTAGTTGGGAAACCCTTCGTCTCCTTACAATGCGTGTCCTCGGTGTCAGAAGATCGAAGGCTGGGGGGCAGTTGATGGGACTTTTCTTAAATACCCTATGATGAAGACACGTGTCCTCGGTTTTACTAAAGCACTGTTGCTAAGATCAAGCACCATCGGCGTATAAAGGTCCTCGCCCCCGAGGTACCGACATATAGGATCATACATTCAGTATATTTTACAACCGACACGTGGCCTCGGCCTGATATGTACCTCGATCGGCATACCTCCCTCGGTCCCCGAGATGAGCCTTTCCTCGGTGCCGAGGGGTACCCCCTCCTGGACGCTTCCTCTACTCCAGGATAAGCTATTGACGTACAGGTCACTAGCCTAGGCTAGTCTAGGCTATTCATCATGACCTCATCTTACACAAGTAATGTCAGAACGTACTGGAATACAGAGGTCACAGCCAATAGGGGATGGACGCGTGGCAAATGATGTCACATCAAAGACAGACAAACCGCATGTCGTTGCTGACACGCGACTTGGGAAAACAAACAATTAATTGCACCCTTCCGTTGATGAGACCGCATTCAATGCGGTAAGGCTCGGAAATGAAAGGCAATAAATGCTCCTATTACAGAGCATTTATTGCATCCTCCCCGAGAGGAGCACATTGTACCGTCGGCATCCCGACGACCCAGCATTGATTGCTCAGGACCCCGAGCAGTTAATTAGAGAAGACATTCTTCATCAGAATCAATACACACGCTACCTGTGCCCAATGATCACCTGCTGACCACACTGACAGCAATCATGAGCTTTTTAAGGTATAAATACTCCTTGCAAAAGGCAAAGCGGGTATGCAACAACTAACTCTCTACTACGATACATTCTCAGTGTTTTCTCCTTCCTCTCTCTTTCTCAAAGACTGACTAGATCGTCGGAGGGGATACGCCGGAAAACACTCCGGTGCCCTTCTAACTTGTTCTTCTTTGTTCCAGGGACCTCTTTCAGCCTTACAGGACCGTTCTTCCTTTCCCAGGGTCTCCCATTTCCGTTCCAGGTTATCACCGTACCTTGCAGGCTGTCCCAAGCAGCGTGTTTGGTCACTCAACCGACTCACTCGAGTTCGCCAAGGGAGAGATCTGTTCTCGTTTTTTACATTGTGCAGGATCTTGCACGCACAGTTTTATTATAGATTCTTTGCAGCTAAGCTATGATGAGTTTCCTGCACATTTAAAGCATTGTATACTATGACTCTCAATATACCCAGAGGACCGCAAAATAAACACTGAGCAGTTGGTTCGCTCTTTGCTGGTGGGTGGGGGAAGGTTTTGTCCGCGAGGAAAACATAGAACCTGCAAGAGATATGGTTAATTGTTACCTGTCCAAATTGATCAGTAGATGCTTGGTTGAAGTTGTTCAACGAAGGAGTTATGATGGAATAATCTATAGTTGCAAAATGCATGACATGGTCTGAGATTTGATGATTAAAATTGTAAGGGAAGAGGCATTCAACAGTTTTGACAAAGAAAATAGGCAGATACCCGCCATTGATACTCTCCGGTTAGGTGCCACAAGTGAAATGGATCTCCATCTCCTACGGGGAAACTCAAAGATAAGGGCATTATTATATGTATGGAGAGTTGTTCGATTCACTTAAATAGGGGTTGGCCATGGTAAAGTCTCTCAGGTTTTGGACCTCTCGCATATTAAGCTGGACAAAATTACTATAAGGGATCTATGGCATTGGATCACTTCCCAGAAACACCTAGCTTACTTAAACCTTCGCAATGTTACAAAATTGGTTGAACTGCCAGACTCGATTGGAAAGATATGGGGCCTCCATATTTTGATCCTTGGTGAATGCAAGAACCTAAAAAAGTTGTCTGCATTGATAACAAGTATTCCAAAATTAACGGTTTTGGATATGGGGAATTGTCCATTACTCCAGTGCCTGCCCCAGGGACTTTTAAGACTTTCCAATCTTCAAGAGCTGTATGGTTTCAAAATAACTAGTTTGACAGATGTAGAAGGTTGTCATCTTGGTGAGCCTAGGGGTCTGTCCAGCCTTCTGGTGATGCAAATGGAGATAAAAGAAGAAATCATAATTTAAGATGAGGAAGTGATATCCTAAAAAAGCTTGATTAGCTTTTCCCTTCGACATGTCTTGAAGAGCTGTATTTGAGGCATTAATTTGGAGAAAGTACACAATAATGAATAAACCCCACTTCACTCCCGTAACTGCAGCAATATCTTTGTATTGAAGACTCTAGGGTACTCGAGCACATACACACTGACTTTTGGGACAAGAAAAGATAACACTTAGAAAGTAGAAGGGTTGTGTTTGAAGGTTTTGTCAAAAATGCAGATGGAATGGGCAAGGGTGCAAAGTGCGATGTTTGAACTGAGGTTCTTGGAGGTCAGTCGCTGTGACTCGTTGCAGTCATTCCCTTGTGATTTCAAGACTCTAGGATATTGGAAGAAAGGGGAGGAGGAGATCAAAAAGGAAGAGAAAGAGGAAGAGGAAGATATCAAAAAGGAAGAGACTAAAGAGGAAGAGGTCAAAAAAGAAGAGGAAGACAAGTGATAAGAAGATACATGCCGTAAGGAAGAATGTCACAGAGCACGGCGTGAGTGAAACTCTCATTTCAGTTCCTATCAGTACTATTATAGTCGCACCATGAGTGTATATCTTGAATTGCTTTGAGAACTCTCCAGTTTGATGTATTTGATGTTGCATGCATAGTGTATGTTTGTCTAAGCTCTTTATGTTATTTTTAATTGGCTTACAGCTTTGGGTTATTGAATTTCAAGCTTGATATTACATGTGAATGCATTGGTGTACTCAATAACAAAGAAATGCTATTGTATGCATCTCCTAATTGATCGGCCATATCTTGTATTATTCGTAGGCAATTGATTTTGGGAGGGATAATAACTATAGTCTCTGCAATCAATGGGATATGAATTATTTCATCAATCTATTTGACATTAAAATCACTATTTTCGCTAATTACGGTTTTGTTGTATACCATTCGTCTGGGGGAGTTTGATTACGAACTTGGATGATTTGTAGATTTGGAGTATAAATTTATGTTCATGGATGGGATAAAATTCGATGATTATCTGGTTCTTTTCCTTAATTAAATTTTGTTTTTACTTAGTTAGCTACTACAATACTCTTTAACTTCAAATAATATTTTTATTTTCTTTAATCATCTTTGGCTACAACCGACTTCCTTGAGAAGACAATTTTGGAATTATATTCCAATTTACTATACGATAATTTCTCTTACGCTTGAGAGCTTCGTGAAAATACATCCACTTTTGAGGGCAAGCACTTATGGGGCTACCAAAACTAGCACTCAAGTATGATCACACAAGATGCATTCGGCTGCATTTGTTGGCCAACATAGCTTTCAATTGAACTAATTTTACTCAAATAAGAAAAAATTTAGGACTACAAAAATGAAAAGAAAAAGTATCAAAGCGAAAAAAAAAACCATATAATTTAGAGACCATTATAATATTTTGAGTAAACTTCATTTACACCCCCTATAGTTATCCATATAGTCAATGACACCCCCTGCTTATTCTGAAATTTCACTGACACCTCTCATCAAAGTTTTCCACTAATGGCGTTAACAAAGGAGTCTATTTTACATAAATGCCCTTACATATGATATACGTATATTAGATAGTATACTTAATTTTTGGGAAAATTTTAGTCACACCCCTCCTAGTTTATTATATCTTTAAGGATACTTCCTCTATTATTCAAAACATTATTAAAACTCCATTTAATTTATATTTAAATATCACTGACACCCTTTACAATTAAACCAAGATTTGTCACCTCCGTTACTTGACAAACACTGACAAGGGCCTAAACACTCCTCTCCGTTGGTCATCTTTTAATTTTTGTTTCGGTCTAATATCCAACTTTCATTTTTTTTTCTGTCTAATATCTATTTTCCTTTCTTTTTTTGGGTCATCTTTTTAAATCCTTGTTTGAGCTTTGAATCGAAACAAACTCGAACACTCTTCTCTTGTATTATTCCATGTCCCACTTGTTGAAAGTTTCAAACCCTAATCTATTTACCTCATAAATACAGTCTCAAGAGTGATAAAAAAGCTGAAGAAACACAAGAAACACCAAATGATTCATGGAAACAATATCTGCTAAGAAGAAAAAGCTTCTGAACGCTAACAAGGAAGATGACAGATCAGGCGAAGACCGGATCAGTGATCTTCTAGACGCTGTTCTTCATCACATTCTCTTCTTTCTTCCCATCAGATCCATTGCACAAACTTGCATCTTATCAAAACGATGGAGAGATCTCTGGCAGTACTCCTTTCCTGATCTGGACTTCACAACAACCACCTCACATTCCAATGCTTCCAAAACCATTAAGTACTTAACCACCCACATAGCTAAAGGTACTAATCATGGGCATCTCCGTGCGAAGCTATGTGACATAAGGATCCTTCGTTTTCGTGCTCAATTGAGTTTCTCTCACCTAAATGGTTTGATCTGTCGCGCCATAAGGCATAATGTTCAAGAACTAGACATTGAAGTTGCCATGGAGGGCAGTAATTTTGAGCAAACGCCTGCGCACCCTCCGAGTACCTGCTCAATCTCATTAATCTCACAGTAGCTAAATGGGAGCAGCATTGTAGCCACATATCAAAGACCCGTGCACCATAATGCATGAAGATCCTTACCAATCTGTAACCATGGCCCATAAATCCCACTTGACACATGCATTTATTCAAGATGGTGTTGCATTTGTTTCCTCAACTGTGTGTCTTTATCACAAGCTAAAGATGCATCTTTTTTTATACAAAAGCCAATATCACATCACAAGCTAAGAAATCTTGCATATGATTTTCAAAGATGACTCTTGAATTTGACTTATACCAATTGTTAATGAGTGATTATGAATATTTAAGAGTGGATCTAATGTGATCCTACCTTAAAAAAGTTTACTCACCATAAAAAAAAAAAAAAAATACAGGACTTTGTAGTAGTAGCCTACACACAGTCAAACTTGCAATTTGTCTAGTTGGGTCACCATTGTATTGTTTTAACAAGCTCTTATTAGAGAGAGAGAGGGGGGGGGGTTGTTCCCATGCCAAGAACTGCATAAGAAAATAATTTGAACCCAAATGAATTGGGATATTAAATGCTAAATTACTTATTGTGTATTAGTACGATACTTATTTGAATTCGGTGGATGACACCTAGATTTAAGATATATGATGTAATAATAACACAATGAAAAAAATATCGGATTCATGTGGAAAAAACAAGAGGAAGAAAAAGAAAAGACCAATAACTCAAAGTTGCATGTGGAAAAAGTTACTACCTTAATTGAATTTTATCCCTTTGATTATTAAATTGAAGTCGCTGCACTGTTTAAGAGTGTGCAACAATTTAAAAAAATTTCGATTCTGATTTTTATTAATTATTAATTTTATATAAATTATAAATCTATATAATAAAGTAGAACAATTTTGAATTTTGGAGACAAAGAGCGGCTCAGATCGTTTTGATCCGACATACCACATTAGCTCTTTTGAAATATTTTTGCTACTCAAAATTTTTAGTTTCTAAAATTGACACCCCTACATGGAATTCGCCTCTCAATTTCGCCCAAAATCAATACCATCTAAATTTAAAATTCTGCCAAAATCTAAAATTAACATCTATATTTAAATTTTGACATCCGCTCATGCTGCTCTAAATAATATCTTTTATATATCAAAGAAATCACTTTTTCACATCACAGTTTTAGAATATTCAATATAATGATGATATTATATTATTTACTCTGCTTTCCTTTATCACCTGCATCCATTTCGATTTTTTCACCCAATTATTTTAGATACATCGCTAACCCACAAAAAAAATTAAATTCATTAAATTTTAAGTTCTATAAAAAAGTTCCAAAAAATTAAATCCAATCAAATTTTTTATTGCAATAATTTGGACTTATAATCTAATCCATAACATTAAAAACTTAGAAATAAAAAAAAAATTAAAAGTCAACTCATATTTACTCCCATCCATTCTCTTTTTCGTTCTCTCTCTCTCTCCATCCAGTAAAAAAAACAAAAATAAAAGTTAAAATTAAACATTTTTTCTCTTTCTTTGTGATAAAAAATAAAAACAAAAGTGGAAATCTCCTTTTCGACAATATTAACACATCCTTCTTTTGTCTCTTTCTCACATAAAAAATTAAAAATAAATTAATTTTTTTTAAAAATAATATTAAAAATAAAAAGGTCTTCATTTAATATTTTTGTTTTAGGTCTCAAATTGGCTTAAATCGCTCCTATAGCCACTGACGCCCCTTTCTTTTCTCTCTTTTTCTCTCCTCATCGAAACCCTCTCTCTTTACAACAACACTATGGAGGCATAATCGGAGACACAGTGATCAACCATCGACAATCTTGAAGCCTCACCTGAGTATCCCTCCCCCATTTCTCTCTCTGCGTATGTCTCCCCTTATTGCAACCACCCCTTTCTTTCCTCTTCCCTCTCCCCTCTGCCATCGAAACTCATAACAGCCCACCAAACACCTTATATATTAAAGGCAAACTCTTATTTGCAGCCAACCAGCACCTCCGCCCCTTTTCCTCCTCAGTCCCTACCACTGCCACCGAAACCTCCCTAGCCAACAAACACCTCCCCACCCCCACACGCACACATTGCAACTGAAACCCACCATAGTCACCGAAACACAAAATGTTTATATTATTCCTTCAATGAGCGGGCCACCATTATCCTTATTTTTTAGCGAACTTAATTTGTCTGTTGTAGTAACCATCTATAGCACGATGGCGCACCTCCAACAATGAGCAATGACATAACTCCAACGGCATGATGATCTCCTAAAAAAGTGGTTTATTGATTTGAGTTTATTATTTTTTTTAGTTTTACATATTTTTATATTATTTACAATCTTTTTCTGTACGTTCTATGGTATGAGGACTTAAGATTGGTTCAAGCTAAGTGGTCATTTGTGAACAAGGATGAGTTCATATATTTCTGGTGTTTGTTTTGTCCAAAAACTGCAAAGAATTTTAGAAGAACTAAGGAGCCTTTTTGATCAAGAGCCAAGCCTTTTTTTTTTTGGCACATTTGAGAATGGTTTACATCAAAAGAAAGCAAAAATGACAGGAACCACTGTGAGGTGTATGCACGATGTTTAATGAGTTCTCCATATTGTTATTCAAGGTTCTTTAGGTTGTAATGTCTATGCTTTTAAATATTATTTTCTCTCTAAAAAATTTCAAATCTTGACTTCAATTTAATGCTTTGTGCACATTCATAAATTTTGCAAGTGATACACTATTCATTCAGTATACTGAAATTCAACTTGATTTGTTGTCGATATGTCTTATAGTTCATTTGATTTGTTGCCAATGTGATACATTATTTGACTTGGATTGTAGTTAAAAGTAAGCTCGCCTTCTCGAAGCGGTATCATTAGTTGCTGAAAATATGTTTTAGGTTTACAAGTGATAGTGATTGTGGTCTTAGTTGATAGTTAATCTCGAAGTTGCGATGGATGGGTGGTGATGGGGTAAAGCTCTTGGGACAAATTTGTACAACATAAAATTAACTTAGTTGATGAAATTTGGTTTAAATTGAAAAGCAAAATTAATTTAAATAATTGACTTTAGATTTAATTTCAATTTGAGCACAAAAAGTAATTAGTTATCAAAATATAGGCTAAGTGGTAATAACGGTAATGGTGGTATTAGTGGTAATAGTTCTATATAGTTGTGTTTTTTGAGGATTTTGCTTGAATTCTTTATGGGACTCAAATTTTATGTATTTAGTTTCTAAATTTGATAATGTTACCGTAGTTGGATTTAATCATGAAAATTTGATCAATACTAGTTTCCATTGATGTCATGCTATCTCTCCACAAATATGTTTAAATATGATATATGAAAAACATCTTTACTTGATAAGGTTTGCACATCTTCATATTTTTGTAGGGTCTTATTTTTAGAAAGAATTTAGTTGTAATTGTTTGGAAGAATAGAAAAAAATATTATATTTAGAGGCACGAACATTCTCTAAACTATAATTTACTATGGGGACAAAAAGCGTAATTTAACCCGATAGAGTGTTTAAAATTTAATTTTAATTGATTGAGGTTTTGTTGATATTGTTTATTACATTTTTTTTTGGTTGAAATTCATCTCTTAATCCTCATTCCTTACTTTCTTTCTTATATTTATTTGATTGTTTTCATACCACAATAATTTTTGAATTTATTACTATTTGAATATCAATCAATAATTAAACGGTCATTGAATAATGTTTGAGATTGTTTTGATTTGTATTCTATTAATTTTTTTTAAAAAATAATGGGCCATATTAGATTTATCAATGTTTCTTTTTTAGTTTTTTTAATTGACAATTTTTTATGGCATATACTCTCTTAATGCACATATATTTATTTTCAATTTTTTGTTTGTTACGGCGTGCTTAATCACATACAATTGCCAGTTATTTATTAAAAATCTAAAACTACTCTAACTGTCTACAATATACAACAGAGACGACCTTAATAAGCCTCTCGTATGAACTCAAATTCATTTATTTAACTGTCAAAATATTCATTTTGTCTCTTAATATTTTCTTCCGATTCCATTCCATCCAATTTTCTCTCTCACTCACGCTCAATGTCAGAGGCCATTGCCTCATAGCCTCCCCTTCACGCCTTCTCTCTCTCTCTCTCTCTCTCTGCCTCCCAGGTATCTCTCCCTCCCTCCCTCCCTCCCTCCCTCCCTCCCTCTCTCTCTGTTAATCGGCTGTGTATCGTACGCACCTAGCGCAATCTAATTGACCTAACCAGATCGCAAAACCCAGAGTTGCAGCGGGTGCTCATCTTTATACTGATCCCTCTTCTCTGTTCTTTGCTACACTCCGCGGCTCAAACACCAATTAGGTACTGTGATTTTTCTTCGCTAATTTGTTATCTATTTCAAATATTATTCATTTTCTCTACATTTCTCAATTCAGATCTATCTTTCCAATCTATCCATTCGTTCGATTTGAGAACTAGGGTATATATATATATATATATATATATATATATATATATATATAGTTTGTGTATAAATGTTTCATTTTTTCTATAATTATGGGGCTGTTTTATGTGAATTTGCGACGATTTATGTTTCTAGGTCACTCAGAACTGTTGGTGTGCTCTCTTCATCTGAATTGTTAAGAAAACTTATTATTGTATTTATTCTTTGTCTTCTTTTTTTTTTTTTAAATGAAATCTAATGTGCCATTGTTTGTATTTGTTGCATATGTTTTTGTAAATGTTTGTTGTAAGAACTTCAGTAGATGTTTAGTGTTTCAATTTATTACTCTGACCAAAGCAAGCTTCTATGCAACTATCCAATCTTCATAGCTTGATAGAACTCAAATCTGGCAAGTAGTGACCAACTTTGACATGCGCTTTCAATAATACAGTATAAGTGATGTCCTTTGGAGAGACTCCTGAATTGGACATCCTATACAGAAGATTCCCTGCTTCCTCCACTCTACCATTCTGGCAGAGGCCATTGATTGCAACAGTGTATGTATATACATTTGGGAGACAATTCGGCTGCTTCATAAGATCTAAAACTTTCAAGGAGTGGGTGGATTGTGTAATTAGCATTTTACAAATTGTCTAATACAGATTGATAGTTTCTTGCGGTTCGATTTGTAGGGAAAATTTTGTCCAAATTTTTTAATTGAACACAGAAAAATAGTTGATTAAATATTGATGATTTTTGTTCAGCATATAATATAGTGCTTTGAGGCACATACATTTCTTCTAATTGTATTTTTTATGATGAATGAAAAGAAAACATTTCGGCTCATTTTAGTTCTCCAAAGTCATGATATTAAGTTAGATAAGTGAATGTCGGTTCTTAAACCGATCATCGCTTACTAAGCGCTATTGTTAATTTTAATTAGATATGTAATTTCAAGAATATGAATTTCATGCGTTTTCAGTTTAAGTTTATGAGATTTTATCATTAAAGTTGAGTTTTTTCATCTTCATATAGGTCATACGTTGTTGATCACTAATTCAAAGTGTAGGTGCGTTAAGAATATAGTTGTATCTTCCAGCTTAATATGCGCGTTCATGTTCAATACTTTCTTTTTTTGTGTTCACAATCAATGTTCGATTTTTTTGAATTGTACAGTGTCTTCAGGCACGGGTTATCGCTAGTCTATAATATAAAACATGACATGTTTCAATAAAACCATCCGACAGTCTCAAATAGACTTATCCAACGACCACCAACATTCTTTTCAAAACCATTCACATTGAATTTTACCTTTCTCTCCTCATTCTTCACTCTCTCTCTCAGAGATCTTTACTTTTGTGCCTTTAGACACGGATTATTTCTAGTATAATATACATTAGACCTTATATAATATATATTATATTAACAATTATATATTATATTAATAATTACCCGTACTTGAAGTCACTATATAATATACACAAAAATTGCAAGTAATTGCCCATCTTAAAAGAAAAATGGCCCAAAAACATTAATACCAATTCTTTTAAAATGACCCAAAATATATTGTCGATCATATCCTCCGTATTAATAGAACTATCGCAAAAATGTACAAAAAACTCCTCAAAACATCACATAAACAAATACCTAAAAAAAAACAAATACGAACAGAATCTAATAAAATTTATAATTTTTAAGTTATAAATAAAATTTTACTCATTTATAAGATGTATTTAATTTATCACCATTGTCACCGTTTAACCCAATAACACAATATAATTATAAACTCAGTCACTTGTTATTTTTTTATTGGTGATTATAGGGTTGCAACTTGGATAGGTTGAGAGGTTAATTCTAGCCCAACCGTAAGTATATAATCTTCAACCCTAACCCTAACCCTAACCCTACCTCTACCTCAACTCGAGTACTGCCCGAGTTTAATTCGAGAGTCGGGTTGAATTCGGGTTACTTAATTCGGGCTGATTTCGAGTTAAAAATCGGGTTGACTTGAGTTACTTAATTCAAGTTGATTTTTTGAAGTGTAGATTTATTTTTTTGAAGTGTAGATCTAATTTTTTTAAGAGATCTGAGATGAAGGGCGAGGCGTAGATGAGGGAGATTAAGAGTTTGAGACGACTCAGACGAGTTACGATTGAGAGAGGGAGGAGTGACGAGTGAGAGGAATCTAAGAGTGATAGAGGCACAGGGGTGAAAACTTGAAGTGACGTAAAAGTCTAGACTCTAAAGAGTGAAGATAAATACTAATCTTAGTTAAATATATTTAAATATTTATGTATATTCGGGTTCAACCCGATTTAATAATCGAGTTCAATCCGATTTTAATATTCAGGTGAATTTGATAACCCGAGACTTGTCCAAATTCAATTCGGGTTAGAATTTTTTGCCCAGACCTAATTCAAGTATTAAAAATTCTAAACCAAGTTCGTTTTTTTTCGGGTTGGCTCCCTCAAGTTGCACCCTAGGTGATTAACTTGATTTTGAATTTTGCAATTTTTTTTTTTTTATTGCTGATTAGGTTGGCTTTGATTTTTTTTTTTTTTTTAGTGCCATTGGTTTCACTTGTGTTTTTTTTTATTGGTGATTAGTTTGATTTTTTTTTTTTTATTGATGATTAGTTTGGCTTTGAATGTCTACAACTTGGATAAAAAAATTTATCATTTTAATATTTTCACATTTTTTGAAATTATTGAGATAGGAGAGAAAGATATATATAGTGTGTGTTTAAAAGAAATATGAGATAGAGAGTGAGAGTTATATGGGAGATGAGAGTCTTAGAATTATAAAAAGAATGAAAATTTACGTAGGATCGTTAGATCAATAATACTCAAACGTTCTGAACAGCAAAAACCTCAAGGCAAACAAAGTTTACTCCTAATAATAGAGGAGCAATGCTATATGAACCTTATTTGGGGACCTTATTTAGAGATCTAATAATGTGCTTTCAATATAACCATTGGATTAGTTATGAGTTCCAATGTTAGATGGAGCCCACAACCAAGCCAATAATTATACATCATTAGGTCTCTAAATAAAGTTCTCAAATAAAATCCAAATAGTAGTTCCCATAATAGATATTATATATTAGATTTAGGAATCCCTACCCACCCTCGCATATTCAACATATGTATTCTCTCTCTCTCTCTCTCTCTCTCTCTCGGCAACATCGGCGGCTGAAGCTTTCCGTCGGCGACAGCGGCGACAACCCACTCTCAAGATGACAACAATCCTCTCTCTCTCTCTCTCTCACAGTAGCACCTCCGATTGAAGAACCCATCCTCTAATTGAAGCATAGATCTGAGATCTCAGATAGTCGAAATTATGTAACAGATTTCATTTGCCTGAGTCGGAGATGTCCTTCTGCATGAGACCCTTCTGCTTCTGCCTCCAATCTTCTTTAGTCGAAGGTATGTAATATTTTCCTAGTTTTTTTTTGGGAAAAATTGTCAATTTCTTAATCTGATCTGCTTTGTTGATTATGCATATTTTTCGTTTGTTTCTCGGTGATTTGAAAAATAAGAACATATTTGCTTCATTTTTCTTTTGAAGTTTTTGGGTCATAGAGCTCCAAAATTCTGGTCCGATTCTGATTGGCGGAGGCAATGTTGTTTGGAGTCGGAGAGCAAAATTCATTCTGATTGAAGTCGGAGTCGGAGGTCGGAATCATGTTGTCCGATTCCGTTGGAGTCGGTGCCCACCCACCACTGGCTATTCAAATTGTTAACCTTTTGCACCAATTGTTAAATTTTAATTTTGCTCAAATTTTATAGTTCGCGAGACTATTTGAAATACTGAATGGTGCAATATGTTTAAATGAATAGTTGATGGTTAAAACAAAATCAAGATCAACAATGAAGGATAACTTGAGGGGCCATGTAAAATGAAAAAGAATATAATATTTGGGTTAAAATATAATTTTCAAATTGAGAGGGTTAATTTAAGAGGTATAAAGTGTAATTCTAGAAAGTTGATGACCCCCTAGGCCAAAGCTTGGCTTTGCATGCAAATATGATTTAATTTTTTTTTTTTGGGGGATAGGTTTACTAGGAATAGAGAAAAAATATTTATTACAACGATGATACTACATGACAAGGTGATGTGGTATCACTAACTAATAATACTAAAATAAATAAACAAATTGACCCCACAAAAATTAATAACTAATCTGCCATGTAAGTAAATAATTCTTCACTCTTTTGCCATGTAAGCCAAAATGGGATTCACCTTGTCCATTTGGGGTTTTATTATTGATTGGTAATACCATATCATCAATAGTGACATGATATCACCGTTGCATTCAATATTTACTTAGAAATAGGGGCATAACTTGAGAGGATGGGTAGGATTGAGAGATTAATTCAAGCTTAACTCAATTTATAGTATTTTCAATCCAAGTTCAACTCGAATATAAAATTCAACCAGAACTCTCCAACCAGATTATAATATATCTGTAAATTTTGAACTCGGGATGAAATTTTGCTTGAAATGAAGTTTAATTCAAAATTGATTATTGAGTTACAGTTTGGTATAAATATTTGGATTGAATTTCGGTGAAGTCTCAAATTTTGATTTCCGACGTAAACAACATAGTCTAGAATTCGGGTGTAACTTAGGATGAACCTGATTCACTTCTCTAGGTTTTATTATACTTTCCGAACACCCATTATTTATATGTGGCCCCTTATCTATTCACGGTGATGATGTACCATTGAGTGAAATTGAGTAAAAGTATAATGAAGATGATCTAGATTCGACACCTATCTAGGAATTAGTCCCCTATATATGACGGTTAACCACAATGTTACAAAACAAGATCATTAATCCCAAATTAATAATTATATATGTTGTGTTGTGTGACACTAAAGTATAGATGAAGGAAAGTTGAATAAACAAGTTTCTGCATGTAGGAACACGTGAATGCACAAGCTTATGCATGGAGACAGAGACATATTTCTATGGTGTATCTTTGCGGTATACCACTTGCTCCATATGCCAAACATTACAATCCCATTCAACTAAGGAATGGATAGTGAAAGCCACAAAATACGATAGCTTTATGTATTATGTATATAGACCTGGTAAAGCACCTGCAAGTAATAGAAAATTTTAAGTTGTTAGACAAAGTGCAACGTTAATATTTTATGCTTTAACACATCCTCTCCCCAGGCTGGCCAAAAATACTTGAGGCTTAGACAAAAATTTAAGATGGAACCCTAATTTAATTTTAAATGAATAATTCAATTTTTTTTATTTTAATTTCTAATATTAAAATTCATATCTTTTAGTAGGCTGTAAAACAAACACACTATGGGAATTAATGATTATGTTAAGATCAAAATTATAATTCCAAAAAAAAAAAAAAAAAACTAAATACATTAGTTAGCGTAATTGAGATTTTAAATTAAATTATAGGAAAATCTTGTTGTGAGACCTAGGCATACATTGCATTATATTTAATTTTAAGTAATGGTGAAAGTAAATTATTTTAAAAGTTTTGAGGTGGTAAGTGTGATTATCCGCAACTTTGGCGGGTTAAGTTTAAAATATGTTAGAATTAAGACAATTTAATCATTATACATGATGTTATATTTAAGCTACAAAAATGAAATTGAATTGAAGATGAGATGGTTGAGGTTAAATTACAAGTATTGAAATTATTGGAAAAAATGTTACAGGAGTAAATTATGAAGGTGACATTTTTTAAAGGGTGAAAGTGTAATTAGTGTACAATGGTGTAATCATTGGAGGTGGAAGTTAGTTGTTGGATTTATAAGAAAGGAAAAAACAAACAAAAGATGGAAAAAAAGAAACGAGATGAAGATTAGAGAATGGAGAAGAAGAAACACAGAAAAGGAAGAGGTGAGTTTCAATTTGAATCCAACTGTGAAATTAACTCTGTTTCTTATAAAATTTTCGTATGATGTTTGTGAAGACTTGTATTTCATATCTACTGGTTTAAATTCTTCCAAATGATGTTGGTTTGAAATTTTTAGTTGATAGTTCTTTGGATAAAGAAATTGTTATATGTCGTTATGCAAGCTAGAAATTAGTTCGGTATTTGATTGATTTTCTACTTATGGAAGTTTATCGAATAGATTATGGTTTGGATGTGGTACAAAATGGATTGGTTTTGTTTGGATCAATAAAAACTATATTGTAAAATTTGGATTTGGGGTTATACGTGACAGCTTTGACACCCTGTGGCATAACTTTTTATAGAAAACTTGGATCGACATACCTTCAATTTTGTTGGAAACTAGACTCAGAGAGCTTTGCAACGGTATATGGTAAGACATCCGTAGAAATACAGGTTTTTGTTCAAAAGTGAGTAAAAATTGAGGATTTTTTAGAAATGGCAGATTTAATTTCCGATGGAAAATAATGTTAATGCTTTGCTCGGATGTCGTTTAGAGCTCATAACTTATGATTAGAAACTTTAGGAAGTTCACTTTATAATCAAGTTGGTGTTGTACCAATTTGGTTTAGTAAGGTTAAAAGTTTATTTTTTGGAAAAACGCTCGATAGGTTCGCATGTTACCTAAATGCATCCTAAGTGTTTGAGAAATAAAACTATATGACTAATATAAGTTATTTTTACTATGTGAAAAGAAGTTTTGATGATTTGTGTTGAGTTGAGCAAATAATGAATCAAATATGTTTTATGGAAATGCTCATGGTTTGTTGAAAAACTAGTGATTTGAGGAGTATCCACTGTGTCAAAGTTGTTAGATAGCTTGAAATGACTTACATGTTGTTGATTTAGATACTGCGTAGTTGTCGTGAGACAGTTTGACATTGCTTAAATGTTTTAGATACCTTGGCATTGCTTAAATGTTATTGACTTATAGTACATGTGAATTATTTATTATCTAGATATTTTGACTATGATTTATGATTATAAAGTGGGTTGAAACACTTTGAATTTGTTGTTCTCCTCAGATTGTGAACATATTTTGGTGAAATGATATTTAATCCATATTTTTGATATTTTCATTTATTATGATACACAGTGCATTGAGAAAATATTTGTTTTCAGGAAGCTGAAGTTTAGGAAGTTCAGACATACAAATCCAATACCCCTCTGGCAAAACAAAATCAAACCCATTTCAATAAATGGAAAGGCACATACAAATCTTCCTCAACAAACTTTCATTCGTTTCCATCGCCATAGCCACAGTCACCCTCTTCTTCCTCTTCCTCCAAACCCCAGAGACCTGCGTGGACCCCACATCTTCCTCTACCCACCCGAAACCCCATCACAAATTCCCCAAATCCACATGTGAAATATCACACCGATCATTCACCTCCCTAGAAAAGCGCAACCACCGGTTATGGTCCACAAAAACTTGGTCCAACACCGTCTCTTCGTACTCTTCCATCTTCCTCAGTCTCCAAACCTTCAATTTTCTCTCCAATCATTCCAAAACCCTAGTCCTCTCCGCTGGACCTGGCCATGCCGTCATGTCTTTGAACCAGCTCGGTGTTGCTGACGTCACTGGCGTAGAATTGATTGATTCACCACCACTGGTGAGTCGTGCTGACCCTCATAATTTACCGTTCTTCGATAATGTGTTTGATTTAGGGTTCAGTGCACACCTTGATCTAGCCTTGTTTCCGAATAGGTATGTGAGAGAGATGGAGAGGACCGTAAGGGTTGGAGGGGTCTGTGTTGTGGTTGTGCAGGAGTGTGGGGATGGCGAGGTGAAGGAAATTGTCAAGTTGTTTCAAAAATCTAAATTTGTTGGGGCAAAAAATGTGACATTGATTGGAGCAAAAATGACTCGAATTATAATGAAAATTACAAGTCCTTCTTAAATTTTGTGGTATAGATGTTTGGTTGTTGATAGTTTGGTTTGACATGTTTGTTTTGTTAGATTGATTTTGAACATTAAGTGCATCAAGTTTGTGTTGTTTACAATGGATTTGGAATATCTTATATTGGTTGTGTGGCTTCTTATGTGGATAACTTTCGATATGTGATATAAAGTTTAAACACACTTCCATTTTTGCATTACACATTTCTAAATTAGAAGCTTTTGAAGGTTCTCATATAGTATTTTTTATACCACCAAATCACATGCATCTTATGAAGTTCTTATAAGTTCAATGTGATTGATGGTATAAAATATGGTTTTCTTGAAACAAGCCTTTATTACACGAAAACATTTGTGTGACCATTGTGAGTGTTCATCCATAATGAAATTAGGGATTTAGTTTAGGGTCTGAATGCTTGTGCTTATTTTTGTGTCCATGTAAGCTTTTCTCTTTAAAATTTTTGTGTCCATGTAAGCTTTTCTCTTTAAAATTTTTTATACTGTATTGTGTTTTGAGGAGATTGTGTGATCTTCTAGCTGTAGCGAAATGGTGAGCAGTTAGCCCTCTCGTTGTTTGGTGGAACAGAACCTATCTCACCCGCTTGATTAAGCCCATGACTGAACTTGTCCAAGAACGCTGTGGCAACTCCACATGATCCAACCTCACCCTTAATCCTTCTTGTGTACTGATTTTTTGTTTCCCACCTTAATAACATTTTTCTTGTGCATTTTTTCCAAAAAAACGTTGTTGTGCATTTATATCTCAAGTTTTAGCATGCCAGGAGGCTCATTCACAAATCATGCATAAAGTCAAACTTTCACTAAATTTTGTCTTCTATTTTTTGTGAGGCATAATCACTAATGAGTTTTTAACAAAAAGTATAACCCTTAGTAGAGTACAATCACGAAACATGATTGTTGTAGGTGACCCCAAAAGGTTTGGACAAATTTTTGTCGAGTGAGTTGTATAATCACTAATGAGTATCCCTCTCTGATAATGAGACAAACTCAAATTTTGTGTGAATTAGCTATTGCATTAACTGACCATCTTCCTTTTTTCTACTGAAAAGTGTGAAAATCTCTCTGGGTTCTTGGGCATAAAGATCTGTAAGGGACAATATATTGATAAATGACATGATGTTATATAATGCAAATTAGATTCTCTCTCTCTCTCTGGCCTTTGAATCAAAGTAGTGGACCTTCAGATAAAATAATCACATTCTGTAGCCAGAAATGTGCAATGGTTTTCAAGTAGAGGGTCCTTTGCCCTTGTGAGATACATGCCTTGCTGGCCTCACAATTCTGTTGTGTTGCTCCAAAAATATGGAATTCTAGGTCCATGTCTCATATTGAAAGGATCAATGAAATCTCAACATTGCCAGGGTGCTCTTTGGAGGCTTGCATCTAAGCTGATCATTAATGAATCTTTGGTTGAAATTCAGAGGGTACATTCTCTAGCTTTCGTTGTTGGCGAGAAGCATCATGATCTATCCGTGTTGATTAAATGTAGCTTTCATTTTTACAGTACTTTTAACAATGAGCCATATTTGAAATACTTAGGCCTGATTAGTTGGTTATCCCAAAGCATAAACTGGGCATTCCTGCAATTTGGTTTGTGTTAACATTTTGGAGCAACTTGTGAAGCTTATAGTTGACTTATCGTTCCATTGTCGTTAATTTGTGTTGTAATGACCCAGGTGTCTATTGTAAGCCAACTAATCAAGGGGTCAAAAAAAATTGTCACGATTATGTGATTACTATGTACAATGTTTTGTATATTCTGCATAGCCAATAAAGACAAGTGCATAGTCAGTTTCTTTACATTGGTAGTAAGCCATAAGGGATTTTTCAACTTCCATCCATATTGTATGACTGATAGTGAGAAAACATTGTTATCTTGTTTTCAGTTCTTTTGTGATTTTACAATTGCCAGAGAGATTAAAGATTATCAATGTCTGTAACGTTACCATTATTGTAATACCCAAGAAGTAGAATATTGGGAACTATGAAAATTCTTCTTGTTGTTTTCATTTGCTATTATTTCCACTATGCACTCTGATTGATGATGTAGCTGTGGAAGATAAATTGGGATCTTGTTAACCCTTCATAGATTGAAAGCAGGAACCAAATATTTCTTTATTTAGTGGCTGTCGAAACTGAACTGCTTCCTTGGATCATCTTGTAATTTTCTGCAACCGGCAAGTAGGAATGGCTTCTAGTGGCTGGGTAGAGTGAAACGGGAGTTAAAAGAGCATCCAGTGTCAGTCGAGGGTATGGCAACCTCAGAATGTATTCTAACAAGTGGGTTTCCCACCATTACGTTGGATGATCTGGTATTGAGATATATTTAGCGGATGTGTATCGAAAGAGATCAAAATCCAATAAATATTATGGAGAATTGCGATCGATCAATCTTTGAAATTTGTCACTTAATTATTTAAATTTTTTGACATTTGAAATATTACATAGAGATTTTTTAAAGTTTGTACGCATATAATACTTAGACCCTTACCGTCAATGCCCATTAGTATATCTATTAGTAAATTATATCTATACTCCTCCGAAATTTGTAAGCATGTAATATTTAAATATCTCAAGTTTAAAATGTTATATTGAAATTAAATATATTGCAATCAAAGATAGAATATCAAATATTTTAAATTTTATAATAAAAATTTATATTCTATTATGATATTAATTGAAATAAAATCAAAAATCAAAGATTAATTTTTTCTTAAAAAATTATAGTTAGTATACAATTATATTATTTATTAGAATTTAATTTGGTCGTTTAAACAATCAAATAAAGCTATTAAAGTATCCTAATTAAAGTTAGTAGATATTATGTTCATTACAATTTGATCATTTGTTTGATTTTTTAGTCTTATTTTAATAAATAGTATAATTGTATATTAATTATATTTTTTAAAGAAATAAATAGATTTTTATTTTTAATTTTATTTCAATAAATGACATAATAGAATATAAATTTTAGTTGTAAAATTTATGTTCTATTATGAATGACTTAGATTATTTGTTTGATTTTTTAGCTTTATTTCAATAGATAGTACAATTTTATACTAATTACAATTTTTTAAGAAGAAATTATATTTTTATTTTTGATTTTATTTCAATAAATTATACAATAAAACATGAATTTTGGTTATAAAACTTAAAATATTTGATATTTTATTTTTAAGAGGTCTAAGTATTTGATATCCCTATAAAATTTAGGGGTTTAAATATAATTTATTAACAAACATACTAACTGACATTGACGATACGGATCTAAGTGTTATACGCGTACAAATTTTAAGGGATCTGTGTGTAATATTTTCAATATCAAGAAATTTAAGTGATTAATGTTCTGTTTGGTATGATGAAAAAGTGGAAAAATGAAAAGTTAGAAGGATGAAAAGTTTGATGGATAAATAAAATATCATGTTTGGTAAGGAATAAAAGTAGAAATGATTGAAAAGTGGATGAATTAATTTTTCTTCAAACTTATCAAAATCAATTCCTCCAAAATCGGAAGGAAAGTGGATGAAAAATTAATTATTTGTGTTGAGATGTATCTTATTTGTTTATATATCTTATGTATACATTAATTTCATATAAAAAAATATAATGGTAAAATATGTATATATATTTTTAAAAATTTTGAAAATTAATTTTTAAAAAAATAAAAAATAAAAAATTTAAGTTAAATTTTTTTTTTTTCCATCATTCAACTCAACACGATGACACGACTCGAATTCGATACGAAAATAAATAGGCCAACTTGCAACTCGACACAACACAATTAGTTAAATGAGTTAAATTAGATTTGACTAATATTCGATACAAACTCGTAATAATTCACCACGAATTTAATACGACATGACTCGAATTTATTATCACTCCTAATTTTAACCAGTACAAAAAAAAAATAGTCATTTTTATTTTTCATCTATCCAACCTAATATAAAAGAAGAAAAATATATCCTTTTTATTTTTCATCATTAAAAGATAAAAAATATATCTCATACTTTTCATCCTTCCTACTAAATAGTGCACGAGTGACAAACTTCAAGCTGTGTTGACGTAATTCACCCTAAAAATTAAGAGTAGTGTTTGTCAGTAGTGACATCTTGAAGTGCTGAAATTGTGGCCAAGATATATACGATGATGAGGAATCATAGATGTGGACATTTAAGTTAAGCTTCAGCTCCATTACTATGTCTTTTACTAAGTGAGGAAAACAAGACGCTGAACTTTGTCGAAGCTGAGGCATACAACGTACGAATTTTTGTCCTGGACATGCTTGTCTCTTAAAAGGTTCCTCAACTCTGGTGGTCTGACTTTTTTTTTGTTGGTTTAATGGTCAAGGTTATTTAAATTAATTTTTTTATATCTCAATTAATTTTTCTTTTAATTTGATTAAAAGTAAGTCACCCACATCAAGATTAAGATATTTATGAGAGATAAATATATATAATCCAACTCTAATGTTTTATTTGGTATAATGAAAAAATAAAAGGATGAAAAATAAAAAGAATAAATAAAACATCATGTTTGGTAAGGAAGGAAAGTAGGAATGATGAAAAAGTAGATGAATTAACTTTTTTTCCAGCTCACCAAAATCAATCTTTCCAAAATTGGACGGAAAATGGATAGAAAGTTAATTATTTGTGTTGAGATGTATTTTATTTGTTTATATACCTTTTTATTTATACATATATTATGTATACATTAATTTCATATAAAAATACAATGATAAAATATGTATTTATATATATATATATTTTAAAAAATTTTAAAATAAATTAAATTAAAAAAATATTTTTCCCATTTTAATTAGGAATGAAAATTTTTAACTAACACGATGACACGACTCGAATTCGACACGAATTTTATGATACGAACTTGATTAACTCGAACACAAACACGACACAAAAATAAACACTTCAATTCGTAACTCGACATGACACAATTAGTTAAATGAGTTAAGTGTTATTAATGTTCGACAGAAATCCGTAATGACTCAACATGAATCGGACATAACACGACTCAATTGTCATCCCCAAAAAAAAAAAAATTAGTCATTTTTATTTTCCATTTGATGGTGCTCGAATTTTAGGGCCCAAGCCCGATTATGATGGGGTGATATTGTGAGAATGACTTTGCAGATTGTGGATTAATCTTTTATGAACAGTTGGACAAGGAATGTAAATGGTTCACCTTAGCCGAAGGACTAAGGTTACGTTCACTATCAACGGAGTCTCTTGCCGGTAAAGTGCCTCTAATGACTTGGGACTCAGGGTCCACTTACAAAGAATGATTATTTTGGTATTCTCTCTCAGCTTTCTACGCTCTCTACCTCCAAAATGTTCTCCGATCTTTTTTCTGTTGAGGGAGATGCTGTTGTAGTCCTCTTCTTATCGTTGCCCATTTATACCAGCTTCTCCTAGGGCCTCTAGCTGTCCTTTCCTCTGACCTCCTCTTACTTCTTCTGCCACCACGATCACTGTTCATCCGGCGCTGTCGTTGCCATGATCTCTGGTAGCTTGGTGCTCCACCTTCTGGGATTGCTGCAGGTGTCAGGGGTGGTCCTCTTTGCTCTTCCAAAAATAGCTTGGATTGAGTTTTTACTCTCCGAATTGCCTTATGGTTTGGGCTGGACCTGTAATGTTGGGCTGTAGGTTTTTTCTGATGCCAAGTCCCGCTTTTCTGCTTCGGACCTCTTGGGTTGGTCAGGCGTCTGGGCCATCAACGCCTGGGTTTGAGTTTCGTCCGTATCAGTTGCTCCCCAGCCCCAAGTCATGAAGACGTTATCGTTTCTGGCCTGGGGTTAAAAATGATTTTTCTGGGCTTGTTATGGGTTTTTGAGGTGATGACTGTGCTCGGCTATTGGTTCTGATCAGGATTGGGCCATGCTTCTATTTTTCGGCGATGATGGGATGGCAATGTACACGTGTCACCATCGGGTGAGCTCGTGGAAACGACTTTTGGGGCGTGTCCTGCCACTTGCCTGTCACAAATTTAATATTTCACACATACATATACGTCCTTCAAAAGGAAAAAAGGGGAAGGTCTTTTGGCTTTTTGTTCTGTGTTTTCGAGTCTCACTTTTTCGTGCTCCTTTCCCTTTCTGTGCATTCGAAGTGATTTGATCCAGAGTCTTGGGTGACTTACGACATTCTTGTTTCTGGTTCTACTCTTCCTCTAGCGTTTCACTAGGTACGTCTTTTTTCCTCTCTCCTTGCTATTTCGACCTGGATCCATTTAACCCACCCTGGTGGGGTTTTGGGTTTCGCTTCCTAATCTGGAGGTTTAGTTATTTTAGAGAGCACTTCGATGACCTTTCTTTCCTTTCGCGATTTATAAGTCATTCATTAGTGGCGAGGGTAGCCTTACTCAGGACCTGGTGTTTGAAACCTTTATTCTTGATGAATTGTGCCTTGCATTTCCCTTCCCTTCATTATGGTGTGAAGTCTGACCTTTTGATGGGAAAAATTTGTCGTTTCCTCTTATTCTTCCGAGTCGAAATCTGTTAGTGAGGAGACCACTACCGCTTCCTCTAGTGGGCGTTCTCTTTTCGTCGGTGGCGGAGCCCCTAAGTCTACTACTGGAGCCACATCCC